AAGAGCATTTAATAAATGGTTTTGCGAATGCCCTAGAGAATTGGTATGGCACAGGGCAACAAAAATTTTTTTCTGGGGGGCCGCCCAGTGGCCGAGTGGTTAAGTTCACACGCTCCGCTTCGGCGGCTCAGGGTTTCACCAGTTCGGATCCTGGTGCAGACATGGCACCGCTCATCAGGCCATGCTGAGGCAGCGTCCCACATGCCACAACCAGAAGGACCTACAACTAGAATATACAACTATGTACTGGGTGCGCTCTGGGGAGAAGAAGAAGATTGGCAACAGATGTTAGCTCAGGTGCCAATCTTTTGAAGAAAAATCAGTTAATTCAACTTAATAGATATTGCTGAGCACTGACCATGCATCGGGTTTCTAACAAGTAAGGAGATAAGACAGCTGCAGAAGTTACTATAACAAAAGGCAAAGTGAGAACCATCACAAGGAAAGTCTCAAAATGCTGTGGCTCTTTGGAGGCAGATGAGAGGGAACTGGGCTTCCTGGAGGAGGTGGTGCTTACAATGGGCCTTGAATCTGAAGGATTTCAATAGAGGGAGCCTGTGGGAGGGGTGAAGGGTAGTTAATGCCACAGAAAGGAGAGCTCCAAAGTGGCTCCTGCTTGCCTGTCTTGGAGCAGAGAGTTGGGGGGCTGCGCATGAAGCCCAGGAAGAACAAAGCCTGTGTTTGCTGCCAACTTCCAAAATTGCACGGGCGGGAGAGTCGGGGGCAGGGAGCGCTAAGGTCGTTCGTACAAAGTAGCCAATTTACAGTTATGGTTACACTTGAGTCAATTAAAGTGTTTTATTAGCAGGAATTTGAATCTCTTACCTTCATTAACATTTAACAGTAAATGGAAGAAAAAAGGTAAATAAAATATTATCTGGCTTTTTAAAGGTCATTTCAGACTGAGCATTATAAACTGTGAGCTGGGGAAGGGTGGGGATGGCCCTTTGTGTGGATTTAGTACGTGGCGCCTGCCATATGTGTAGATCATGAGAGATACCTGACGGCCGGCCAGGCGGCAGAACGCCTCCCGGCAGGTGAGGCACTTGAGGTGCATTCATCATCGGCAGCACGTTTGAGGCAGAAGGAGCGAAGCAGCAGATCTGAGGTGTGAGAACTCATTTTTTGCTTTAGATCTCAGATTGTAAATCATTTGGGGTATGCAGTCCTTGGTAATTACTCCCATGATCAACACCTGCTTTTTAACAACCCCAGGCTAGCAGCCCAAATTGATTCACCCACATACCTAATCATTGCCCCAAAGGAAAGAAGCGCAAAGGGAGCCCTGTGCCCAGGTCTCAGAGAGTCCACCCGGGGGCCTCAGGGACCCCTGGTCACAGGAGACAGACCACACTCATGCCCCAAGCACGCTGTGGACATTTGACATCAAAGCCTGCTGTTATTGGAAGCCAGAAGCAGAAACAGGATAATTTGGCAAGGCTGTAAATGTTCAACCTGAAAAGAAACTCCTCTTATTTTTTAATTTTCCAAAGTGTCAAGCCAGAAGTGATTAGAAAGCCATCCAAAAGCTGCCCGGTGAATATTTCATCCCAACTTGTCACCTTGGAGATGATAAGACCTCACTCGTGACGCTCAAGTGTCATCTGACCCTGGAAAGGCAGCAGGGAAAGCTCTTCCTTGAAATTCTTTATCAGAATGGGTGGACTAGCAGGAGAAGACCCACCCCTCCCACGATGGAGTTTCTGAAGACTTCAAGGGTTTGGTGATGGCTGTCCTTGCCCTGGGTGAAGGAGTGGGCAGGGAGAAAGGCTACCTCCACACCTGCAGACACAAACCCTAGAGAACAGGAAGTTCGCTTTTTGAAGTAGTAATAGAGAGCAGAGTCTTACTCAAATGAGCAAGCGCTCGTGGGTTCAATCCTCTTCCTGGGCCGCCTACATCACTAGGGCCTTTGACTCGATGGCAGCTGAAAATAGGGGGAAATGAAATCACAGCCAAATATTCCCTAATTTTAAATAAATATTGCTAATCACAGTGACCGTGGTCAGAGCACAATGCAGCTGTATAAATACAAAGAACAAAATTAAGAGGAAAAAAGAGGATAATAACATACATAAATATAAATCAAAAATCTGATTTTAATATACTAAAAGCATCTGGTCTAGTTCTCTAAATGTCAGAGGCGGCTGCTCGCTGTCCCTCCAGCATGACTCCCATTAGCAGCTGAGGAGGCGGCCTTCCGTGTATCCAGATCTGAAGGTAAATATCATGGACTTCAGCGCAAAAAATGATGAGGACATTTTCCTGTTCCATTTAACAACTTTATTTTGCATCTGAATCTAGCAAAGAAGTGTGGTAAGGTTTCTGGGAGGTGGTAAGGCAAAGCTCTGAATAGCCTCCCTCATGGGCTCTCCCAACCTCGTTCCATTCCCTTTTCTTGTTGCAGAGTATACACAAGCAACTTCTCACCCATGCTAAGAAGTCTGGGGATTTCGTCCAGCCTAAAAGACCTTTAGCACCAAAGTGTACAAAGCCACAGTAAGAGGCAGGGGGTAAGACTGTGAACCATTTTCAGTGTCATCTAGAGAAGCCAACAATCTCTATGATGCCGTAGATGTATGTACTGTCTATTATCCAAAAAGGTTATATTGGGCTCCTGATAATCACCGAAACTATCATCCTTTGCAAAACTGACTGAACGCACAGTAAAAGCCAGGCACTGTGTTTTTACCTTAGTGAATGTCATCACAGTTCAGTCCTACAAGAACGGTGTGCAGTAGTGATTTTCTCTCAAATGCAGAGAGTGAAGTCGGGCTCACGAAGTGAATGCAGTCGCCCTGGTTGCTGTTCTGTCAGCCTATGTCTTCTTTTGGTCAACCTGCCCTCTCTCATGCAGGTAATTTGGAAGTAAATAAATGAAATGACCACTTATTCCCACCAAAACGACAATGCTTTCTTACCCATGCTGGTGAGTACCACAGATTCACTGAGAGTCGGCACCAGAAGGGACCTCGGAGATCTGGGCACTTCCCCCAAGGGGCATGTGGGATGGGGAGAGAGCCTGGTGTAACAATGACTGGGGTGCTGTTTTTCTACAGTCCCGGGGCCTGTCACATGCAGTGAGGAACTGTACTGCCCCTCTGAGCAATGCTGGCACGCGCGCACACACCTGCTTCTGACTGGGGAGGAAACCAAGGATCATAGTTGGGTCTTGGATTCAAGTTCCCAACTGCTAGTTCAGAGATAGTCACTGTGTCCCCACTTGAGCAATAGAGAAGCAATATGAAACAATATATAAAGATATCTTCACGTTGCTTCTGCTTTCCTGCACAACCCACCTCTGTTAGCTAGCTCTGAACAGGCCCATGGCTGCTCCTGGCACCTCTGCCTTCCTCCTGAGGCAAAGATAAGGGACACCTTGCAGCAATTCGTACTTATCTTTCGCTGTCCTCCCAGGTAAGGGGCTCTTCTGTAGTACCTGAGTTCAGCAGGGAACTTCAAATTACTCCAAAGAAAGATGCTCTGATTCAACCAACACCTACTGGACTTTTTGTGCACGCCAGGCATTGACCTTGGCGCTTGTCAATACATTATTTCGTTAACTGTAACTCCACATTAACATGCAGATACTAAGTCCATTTCACAGACTAAAAAACTGAGGCTTTGATTGGTTTATAAATTTGCTCAAGGGCCTAGTAACTGACTTAGTGTCAGACCCAGGTGGCTCATCTCCCAGCCTCATCTACCGTCACTCAGTTCCCTCCACCTCCCAGTTCCATCACATCTTGGCATCAGTCTCCTCTGCCTCAATGAGTGAATAATCACAGGAAGTACCTTTTAAAGCTTAAAATTCTATCAGGTGGGTGAGTTCTCAGGAGAGATGAGTAAAAACTCATTGAGACAGAATTTTTAAGAACTCCGGTCACATTTCCTGGTGAAAATGGCAGACGCGTGTGTATACACATGTGATTCTCTTGCCACAGAACAAAAACACATCCAAGGTGAACTGAGGGCTCCTGAGCGAGTCGGTGCAGAGGAGGAATCAGTGATGAAAGCTCCTGGCCACTTACAAGATCACAGTATCTCTCTCTCACGCACACACGGGAGAAACACGTGGAAATGGTTACCTGTGAAGGCATGCAAGGGAATCAGAGAGGGGGATGAAGGAACAGACAAAACAAGAGAAGTGTGATTAACTTAATGATCCACTCCCGAGGTTAAAATTTGAAAAAGCTTCTGGCAGTGTAAAAATAAACTCTAGGAAAAAGAGTCCCAATAAAAATGATAAAATTCCCAAACTCGATGAGATGTGACTGTAGGGATGGGAACTGGCAAGAGGAGGGAGAGAAGCTGAACTCGCCACTCGCTATAAGGGGAGTCCTCCTTAGGAGTTTCCTAATTATGCGCTCTTGCTGTTCATTAATTGCAAGGAAACCAGCCCGGCTCCAGCCCCCTCGCCTGCTGGGAGGGCACGACAGAATTAGGGACTCACGTCAAGGATGGGCACTGGTGGATGGCAGCCATCAGAGGGCAGGACACTGGGTCTGAGGCTCCAGGTCAGAGATGGCCGCCCCGATTCAGGCTGCATGTAATTAAAAGGTTTGCATGGAGTAGAAACTGACCCTCGCCATCTTAGGCATGTCAGAGGCTGCTCATTTGAAGCAAAATTCTTAAACGTTTTTCTTTTCCTCTTTTGGTTTTAAAACAATGCATAGAAATCACATAGTTTGGCAAAATAAAAAATAAATATCCTATCATCTGGCTAGTGTTTAAGGTGCAAAGGTTTTCTGTGACTGTGTAGTGAGCACATGAGCACACACACGCACAGGCATACACACACACACGCACACACAAAGGCAGAGCAAATACTCTGGTGAATAAAAATGTGAATTTGAGGGCAAATGAGGCATGAAACGTATTGGCCAATAAACAATACAAAAGAAGGTCATACTAAATTTTTTTTATCTAACCAGACTGGGAAGCGTTTGAGCCAGAACACCCACCACGAGAAGACTTTCAAGGAAGTTGCTTCTGCCCGCTACAAGGATTGGTGTTCATTTATTCGTTATAACTCAGACATAAAAAAGCCTAGGATCTTACAGGACTGTGTTTTTGAAGATGAGACTCTGTGAAAGTTTAACATATCTAAAAACACATCAGGGACCTATCATAAGAAAACAAAATATGCCTACGTTACTCCTGTAATCACAGCTCTTTTTTGAAAATGTCTCATCCAGGAAGCCCTTACAGTCATAAAGTACTTTTCAGTCCACAAACCTCCTTCAGAATCATCCTGTAAAGTGGAAAGGGCAGAGGGTGTTTGCTCCATTTCCAGATGAGGACGTGAGCTCAGAAAGTTCCAGTGGTTGTCTAGAGCTCTTGTGGTCAGGGAGTGGTCCAGTCCAACTAGGACCTGACACATGTGACTCCTAACCCTGTCCAGCCAGTCCTGTGCACTCTTTGGCCCCTGTCACTTCTGTCTTTAAAGGCAAAGCTGATTTCAGGAGGCTGCATTGTTCCAACATATCCCACATCAACCATCCTTTCCTCAAGGGAGGCAGCGTGGTGTGGCAGCTGAGAGCCAGACAGGCCTAGGAGCAAGTTCCGACTAGATGAGATATCTGCTGTGGGGCCTTGGAGAGTTGCTAGCCTCTGTGAACCTCAGTTTTCTCTTCCGTAGTGTTGTAGTAATCCAATCTTCCGAAGCCCTGAGCATAACAAAGGCTTTGGCCCACAGTGAGCATTATGATTTTTCCTCCACGGTATGCAAAGGGAAGGTGAAGCAGCATAAGCTTGCAGGGCCTGACCGTAAGAGGTTGTGCACAGTGCAGCCTGAAGCCTCTCAGTAGAGTCTCAAACAGAAGGACCTAGGAATGCAGACTTCTCTTGCATGGAATAGATCAAAACCAAAACAACAGTGAGAATGAACATCTCATAGAATCTTCCACCCCACCCCCAAACCACCACATACACACCCAGAAGCATTGTGGGTCGAAAGAAAACGGATTCTTTCAAGATTCCCAGACCAGACTGTACAAAGTGAAAAGGTTTCCGGTCCCGCCGGTTCTGAGAAATACCTGCGCCTCGCAAGGCTGAGGTCACCTGAAACTCCTCGGGGGGCTCTCTGTCTGCACTAATTAGAGAAAGCAATATTGTTTGAAAGCATTTCCTTTATCTGTCTTCCCACCTCGATTTGCTCCGGGATCTGGGTGTTCGCAGGCCCAGGCCCAGTTCACGTTCACACAGCCTGCCAGCCCTTCAAAGGCGGGGAATAAACACAAGCTCACCAAACAGGTGGTGATGAGAGACGTGCCCAGACTGTCTTGGCCGTTCCGCTCTGCACCTTCACTTTCATTATCTTCATCATTTGTCAAGCGAAGGCAGGCTGGTGAGCGGGGGCTTTCACACCTTCAAAAGGAAATATTGACTAAACAGCAATGCTGCTGCTTCCATGACCTCCTCTTTACCTGCCAGATACCCACAGGGACTCGCATTGTCAAAAGAGGAGTCTTCATTAGACTCTTCTCGCTGACATCCAGTGGCCCAAGGGAGAGCAAGAGAGATGAAGGGCCAGTCGGAGGAGGGGTGACGAGCCACACCAAGAAACTGGAAAATGCAAAATTAGCTTTCAAGGATAAGAACATACAGACAGCACCAATTCACTCAGAACCTGAGAAAAATACACTCTTTGTGATGACGAAGGAGTTCCAAATTCCCCAAGAATTTGCCAACTGACCCTTTGGTTAATAACCTCACCTTTTTGGGGAGCTCAGGTTTTCCCTAGATATGTACCATACTCCTCTTCCTACAATTTAGGAGAAGGATCCCTAAGTTGAGACAGGGACAAAATGAAGTTCTCATATTGCTGTCATGATAACGGGTACGAATGAAGTGACCAAAGACATACTCTGCGTGAGCAAAAGGATTCGGCTCTGCCCGCCTGAGAGCTCAGCTAATGGGATTGGTGAACTAGAAGGACTTCTTGAGAGGAGAAGGAAGGAAGCAGGTTCGGGTAGGGAGGAGAAGTGTTGTTTGGGGTTTTTTCTTCTGTTGGGGGAGAGAGCTGACCAGAAACTGGAAGGTAGAAGTTCTGGTGCCATGGGAAACAAATTCTGTAGCCCTGGATGTTCCTAAAGAACGTCCATGGACTTGAGCTCGAATCTTGAGGTGGATCACAGGCCAGAAGACTAAGATTTGAGCAGAGTTTAGGCATCTTGTCCTCCCCACTCTTCTTCCTAGTGTTCTTCAACTCTCTTCCAGAAGCTTCCTGGAGAATCTCTCCCAACCTCTGTGTTCAGCACACTACTTCTAACCCCAAGTCATCTCGACACATGACCCTCTTTAGGGGACAGAACTCCATCTGGTTACAAAATTGCTCCTGTCCCCAGATAAGACATGAGTAAATGCAGCAGAACAGGAGCTTCCTACAGGTCATTTGTAAGTCAGGTTGTTTTTCCGGACAGTAAAAATTTCATTCATCTTTAGAGGTGACCTTGACAGGTCTACTCAAATAAGCAAATATTTCCCTCTTGACAAATGCATTTTCCAACAACACGTTTATGTGGGAATGCAGGGGCCCCTCTGCTTGACTATCTCCTCTGAAAAATATAGAAGGTAGTATGATTTTGATGCTAACCAGCACTGAGAAACTCTGGGGTTTTTTGGAGGGGTGTGGATAGGCATCTTCTTGTTCTTCACAGGTTGATCTCCAGCCTGAAGGAGGAGCACAGGAAAGCACAGAAGTGTGAAGGTATGGCATGCCTGGGAAGACTGGGCTGTTTCTATTCAGCTAGAGCTCTGAGAAGGGCCCAGGGTAGAAGCTGAGGTTAGAAAGGTTGGCTGAGTTCACATCAGGAGGGCCTTCATACATCCTCCTTGCAACAGGAAGCCGTTTAAGATAGTTAAGTAGGTAATAAATGGGATGGTACTTCAGTGCTGGTGATAGTGTGTGGAGGTCCTGGAAAAAGGATAAACTAGAGATAGAAGGATGAGACAATCCTTCGTTTCTAAAACAAACACTGCCTGCAGTGTGCCAGGCACTCTGCCAGGCACTGATGGTGTAGTAATGAACGAAGTCAACACAATGACTATCCTGGAGTTTGCCATCCAATGGGATGTGGGGATGGCAGCAGCTGGCACTGATGGTCCCAGGTGGATTTATGATGTGAATGGGGGAATGTTTTCAACATGGCAGATTTGAGATGTCTGTGAAACAGCCACATGGAAAGGTACAAGAAGGCCTAGAGTCAATGTGCATTCCCACCAGTTTAAACATAGAAATAGAATTTCTAAAACTCATTTGATCTGAAGAAAGTCTGCTTTTCTAATCATTACCTGTGGGTTTCTAGTCAGAAGAGAAGATTTCCCTTCAAGTGTTCCTTGTCAAACTGAGCGGTGAGTAACTCACCCAGAAGGAGCAAGATTAAGTGGCAGAACCCCAGGGTTAAACCCCGGCCTGTGCAGCCAGGATCTGCCCTCAAACAGCTGGGTAAAGAGTAAAGGGTTTGGAGCACAAGCTCCAGGCCTGAATTCCAGTTCTGGGACTACCTTGCAGTAACTCTCACTCCCCAGGCGTTTCTACATAGAAGTTGATTATTATTGCCCAAATTGCACAAAAGTGGGGGGAGATCTTGACGTACAACTGACCTGAAATGAACCCTGACTATGTCTCCCTCTTCCATAAAGGAAACCTTGACCATCAAACCACTAGCCAGCTCTTCTGCATCCCTTCCGGAGGCCAAAAGCCCCTCACCTATAGAAACCAACTCTGCTTCATTAACATTTCGTTCAATAACATTCACATAGTTTATTCCACCCTCTCTAGTTCAGCAAACCCTCCACTGGGCTCTCAAAGAGTTTGCTAGTCCTTAGCAAAAATAACAGATTTACTGCTCCAGTTCCCACAATGCACATGTATTTATTAGGTCCTGCCTTAAAGCAAACTCAAACATTTTCTATGATCATTTTTCGCAAGTGTCAGATATCTGGCAATCCAACTGCAGGATGACTGTTAACATACGGTCTACCGTTCAGAGCCAGCTACCCATAGTTGTAATATCTCAGTGCCTCCCAGGTACTCTATATGACCTGCTAATTATCTGTCAAAATGTAGACATCAGACACAAATCAAATAGGTGACAAGAACTTGATCTAATCTCTGCTTTTTCCAGTTTCTGAGTCTCTGAATCCAAGATACTATGTCTTGCTCTAGGACAGCAGACTTTCATGCATTCCACAAAGCTCACAATTGTCTGCAAAAAATTGTTTCCTTTGCTGCTGAGATTAATAAGGCAATTCTCATTCCTCGCCTGAGAATATCTGAGCAGGGTAGCACTGACCTAGCCCCTTCATTTCCAGGGGAGTGTTGTGGTGCCACGCGCTGACTGTCTCATGAACTTGAGCGTAGCACTCTCTGCCCACGAGGAGAAATCTCAGGCTTGGAACGGACTCCAACGGGGCTGATTCCGTGTGTCCTCTCCTACGTGGACAAACGTCTGAGCAGAGAAGAGCTACGATGCCATTTAGCTTTTATTTCCCTTCCTGAATTCCAGGAAGAAGTCCTAACTTTTGAGAAGCAAACCAGCTTCAGTTATGTTTGACACACATCCTCATAAATTATTCACTCAACCAGTATTTATTGAGCACTTACTGTGTACCAGGTCCTATGGTAGATGGAGTATAAACAAGAAACATAGTATTCTATGGTAACTAACACTCATTCCTGAGGATTTTAGATAACACCAGTGGCCTTTATTTGATGGGGTTTGATGTATACAATCAATATCCTCAGTTTTAAAAGGCAGTTCACCAATTTTTAAAAAAAGGATATTCTCTTACCCTCCACTGGAGCTGGGTGAGGGCAGGGATTTTTGTCTGTCCTATTTGGGCCGTGTCTCTAGCATCTTTAACAGTGCCTGACACTTAGTAGGTGCTCAATAAATATTTGTTGAACAAATGAATGGTGCTCTTGACCCACAGAGAGGAAGGCAATTATCTTCCATAGCCCTTAACCAAGTCAGTACTTGAGAAATACTAGCACTCTCTTCTAACCGACAAACTTAGGAGTAGGTCTACTTTGCAGTCATTGGAGAAGATGTTGTGAACGAGTTTTCAATGATGTGAGCAAATGTCTGTGACATCTAGCTGCATGGCAAAGCACCTTAGAAAGCAACAGGTCCGGCAGAAGCCCGTTTTTAAGTTTAAATGTACATAGTGGCTCTTTCTGGTCCATGGGCTTTGGGGTAGTTTTTATTTTCCTTTTGTGTATTTTCCGTGTTGTCTAAATTCCCTACAATGAGCGTCTGTTACTTTTCTAATCACATTTTTAAATATTACTCTAAAAGACTACAATCGAGATTTTGACCTGATTTTATTTTCAGTTTGCATTGAGTCTATTGAAGGCCCTGCATCTAGCCAGAAATAGCAAAAACTCGATTGTAGAAGAGAAGAGAGGCTGATGAGGTTCCTAGCAGAGGCTGATATTTCACACTAGGTCTGGAGAGAAGAGAGGTGGCCCTAAGTTTCATCCGATCACGACCAATCAGTGACCAGTGTCACAGAGCTAGTTGTGCCATTTATAAGTCTGGGAGGGTCACCTAGACTGATAGGAAAAGTGTGAGCACAGGAAGACAATGAACCAACAATGAAATGGAATCTTCTTGTCATCCAGGAGAATAATACCACCAAAATCCGTTTAATGGTCATTAGCTATATTTCACTGGATTCCCAAAACAGACTTCTAAACACGATCAGGAATGGGAAGGAATTCTTTTAAACTGCTATTCTCTCTCTCTCTCTCTTTTCTCCCTCTTTCTCACCTAGGAAAAAGGTTAACTAGGATTTCAAAGCCCAGTCTGGCTGAGCATCTCTGGAGGTTGGCAGCTGTTGGATTTTGGTGTCTGTGTGCCAGTTATTTGCTCTCCCAACAATGTGTTAGGATAATCACCCACTGAAGGATTTCAACACATTACATTTCCCCAGAAGCCTTTGTCTAACAAGGTAATTTATGACCTGTTCAGGAATCTGGTCTTTACAAAACAATAAATTCACACTTGCGCTGGACTTCAAAGCTGCCATGAGGAGCCTCTGTAGCAGAAGGCTCCTGCAGCTGAGAGCCAGATCAACAGATAAGTGAGTTCTTAATGATCTCTTTCAGGCAGGCCGCAAAGGGGACTGCAGCCACTGCAGCAGCATTTGGCCGTCCTTGCAAAATTGTACCCTAAAATTCGGTCCTCTTGATAATGTTAAAATCATTTCACCCCCTCTCTACAGAATGTGGGCTCGATGGGATTTTGAAGGGGGTGGGAAGGAATCAGGTGCTCCCAGTGGGTCAGCCAGCTGCTCCTGCCCCTGGTAGGATCTTGCTGGAATGCCAGCAGAAGCCCCGTCCTCCAACCCTGCAGCCAGCGTAAGCCCCCAAAGTCGCTCTCTTTGGAAAATGGAGGGTAGGCTTCTCATTGTCTCTACCTCAACAGGTTCTTGAAGCCAAGAGCATCTTCCCCATGCACAAATGCTGCAGAAACAGACACCAGGTTTTTCAGAGCGTGGTCTGTATCCTGCTTGCATGAGAATCACCTGAGATGCTTGATGAAAAAAAACATAGGTGCCTGGGCCCCACTCTGGACCTGTTGTAACAACTCCCAGCAGCTGGGCCTAGGAATTGGCATCTTTAACAAACAATCCAGGTGATTCTTACACACACCAAAGTTTGAGAAACACTGGGTTGGATGAAAATAGAAAGACCAAACTAGGAGTGTAAGCCTGGGGGCCTGGGGATGAGCAAGATCCAGATTCAAATCTAGGAGCCACTATTTACTAGCTGTGTGACCTTGGACAAGTGTCTTAACCTCTCTGAGCTTCAGTTTACTCATATGTGAAAAGGAAGGGGTATCTCCTGTTTTTGTAGTGAGGAGTAGCTTCTGGCTTTGAATGTGATCTTCTCCTTCAGACTTCTTACAGCTTTGTGTCTGAACCTCCACCTACAGCTTCCCTGTTGCTGTTTGGCCAGATACAGTAAGTTATCAAGTTTACCATTCCAAGCAGCTCCCCATATTTCAGTTCCCATGAAAATATGTCTTCTGTTTGAGATGCAGGGTGTGTAATGCAACTATACTGCTTTCATTTCTTTTTCTGTTTTTTTTAAGCGGCAGAACTCATTTTTCAAATGATATGATTCATAGAACTTTATTAATCAGATATTTTTTAAAAAGTAGAAGCTCTGTGTGATGGCTGGGAAGCCTTCAACTTTGAGTCCACCGGTCCCCTCCACTCAAACGCTCCCCTCTCCCCCCAGGGCCTCAGATGGGAGGAACGTCTGTCTGGGGGTCGGGGGAGCAAGGTCGGGAGTAGAGAATGAGGAATCACATAGTGTCAAGGTCACCCCCAGAGAAGCTGGCGGTGCCCGTACGCACACTGGGCACACAGGATGGGGAGCAAGTTTGCAGACAGAAAGGAAGGGGCCTTGTTTCTGAGGCATTTAGATTGAGGTGCACGGTAAACCAGGTGAGGCCACTGCGAAGGCCGTCGGAAATTCACACCCAGAATTACAGGCAGTGGTCCAAGCAGAAAGAGAGACGTATCTGCCTTTGAAGTCAGTGGTTCCCAAACAAGCTGCGCTTTGGAATCTCTGGGAGTGTTAAAAAGTCCTGATGCCTGGGTCCCACCTCCAGAGATTGTGATGAAATTGGTCAGGGTTGTGGCAGGGCATTAGGGACTTTTAATCTCCCCAGGTGACTCCAGTGTTCAGCTAAGTCTAGGAACTACTGCTGAGTGTAACAGACTTCTCGCTCACTTAGGCACAATCGTGCAGAGGGAGAAAGCTTTATTCAACATCCACATCCTTGGAATTCTATCAAAAAGGCAGATCAAAATGTCGATTATCAAAATGTCAGTTAACCATTTGTATTAGATTCCTGAGGCTGCTGTAACAAACGAACACAAACTTGGTCACTTAAAATAACTGAAATTCATTCTCTCACACTTCTGGAGGCCAGAAGTCTGAAATCAGTGTCACTCGGTGGAAATCGAGGGGATGACAGGGCCACGCTCTCTCCAGCGGTTTCAGAGGAGAATCTGTTCCTTACCTCTTCCAGGATCTGGTGGCTGCCAGCCTTCTTGGCTTTCTTGTGATCACATCCTTCCAATCTCTGCATCTGTGCTCACATTGCCTTCTCTTTTTCTGTGTGCCAGTCTCCCTCTGCGCCCTCTTATAAGGATACTTATGACTGCATTTAGGGCCCCCCTGGATAACTCAGGACAATCGCCTGATCTCAGGATCCTTGATTCAATCATACTTGCAATGTCCTTTCTTATCACGTAAGGTAGCGTTCACAGCCTCCAAGGACTGGGACCTGATGTCACTGGGGGACTGTTCTTCAAGCTCCTACAGTCAGCCCTCAAAGAGTCACATTCATCCCAGATGCAGAATAAATCCACCCCATCATAATATCCTCTAAAATTTCAACCCATTGTGGTATCAACTCATCCAAAAATCACACCTAGGGGTGAGTCCCAGCTCTGTCACTTACTGGCCGGTGAACTTGGGCATCATATTTAGCCTGGCCGAGCCTGTTTCCTCCTGTTTAGAATGGAGATAATGATAGCACCAATTTCACTGGATTTTATAAAGTTTAAAAGAGATAAAATGTGTAGAATGTTTATTTAGAATTGGATCCATAGGAAGAGCAAAAATACTGGCGACTGTCTTTGTCTGTTCAGGCTGCTAGAACAAAGCATTAAAGACTTGGTGGCTTATAAACAACAGAAATTTATTACTCACAGGTCTGGAGGCTGGAGGTCCAAGATCAGGGTGCCAGCATGGTCCGGTTCTGGTAAGAGCCCTCTTCTAGGGTGCAGACTCCTAACTTCTCATTGTATCCTCACGGGACAGAAAGAGAGTGAGAGAACACTCTGGAGTTCCTTTTATAAGGGCACTAATCCCATCCACGAGGGCCCCACTCTCATGACCTCATCACCTGCAAAGGCCGCACCTCCTAATACCATCACAGTGGGGGTTAGGGTTTCAATTCATGAATTTGGGGGGGGGGGCACAAACATTTATTCAGCCCATTGCAGCAATGAGGATCCATAGTGGCAAACTTTATGAATGTTATCCCAATAACTGAGGCCCGTATCAGGTTATTTGATGGGCTGCTAGGTTGGTAACTAATAACACTAATATTAGCTAAGGATTACGTAGCTGTTGATGTCAGGCACTATTCTAAGTGCTTTCCTGATATTGACTGATTTAGCCCTCAGAAAGAAGCCTCTGACACAGCTACTACTATTATCTCTATTTTACAGACGGAAAAACTGAGGCACAGAGAGAAGTCCAAGGTCACACAGCTAATAAGTAGGGGAGCCAGGAACTGAACCCAGACAGACTAGCTCCACTGTCCTTGCTTGGAGCCACTACACTGTCTCAGTTTTCACTATAAAAGGGGCAATTTGTGACTCAGTAATTGGCCACTCATGCAGCCTGTCTTATAGGGAACTGCTGTGGCTCTGGTTAGCTCATCTGCAAAGTCCACCCCAGCTTTGGCATTTTTCTGACTTCCCAGTGTATCCCTGGAAGGGAGAAATTCAGACTTCAGTGGTTCCAGCAGCCAACCTTTGGGTAAAGGAACGCACTCACGAGGCACACAGTTAACACTGGCACGAACCGCCTGTTGCCAGCTTAGTGAGAGCTTGTGAACAGAAATCGGGAGCCGGGGTTCCCAACGAGCCCATCTCTTTGAACAGGCTGCAGCTGCCTCTGAGGTTGTTCTGTGGCCAGGACGTGGTTGCAAAGTTCACACTTAAAAGTCCATTTAAGAGGATTTAAAAGAAACAACAACAGAAGCAGGTGGAGTAGAAGTGACCTAGTCACCTTTTGCCCCTAGCGCTGCTCCAGCCGCTGGGGAGAACAGGGCATGCCAGCAATGACGGACCATAAACCTCTGTGACTCCCAGCCGGCGGCCGCTTTGAACAGAGGGCCTACCAGGGACTCGCTCCGGAGCAAAGGGACGCACAACCAGGGAGAGAATTGCAGCTGGGGCTCAGAGCCAAAATGGACGGGGACGAGAGTCTTAACTCGAGGAGCTGGAACTCACCAGCGAAGGTGATTTGACCACTTTGTTGGCGCACTGAGAGGTCTCCTCAGTGCCCAGTCTCAGCTCACCGCCTTAGGGGTCTCAGGTTGATGAGGTCCTGCAAGTTTGGCAGAGAATTGATGACCGACTGCCTGTGATGTTGGTTTTCTCATTCTATGAACAGAGCATTCGAGAGCCTGCCCATCTCAGTCACTTTGCTAAGTTTGTATCTCAGACTACACTTCATGAGAAAATGAGATCATAAAAACGGGGGTGGTGGGAGAGGAAGGGTTATGGGGGCAGATCATAGAGTGACGCGCCTGATTCAAAATCAGGAATATTCGGATTTGAAAAGCAAATATTATGTCTTCTATTTTGATATAAAGTGCCAAATTCAAATGACAAATACTTTAGGAACCCTCCCCCCCACCAAAAAAAAAAGAAAAAACATTGTTTATCATCCTCTCCTTCTGAAAAAAGAGATTTTGGATAATATTCTAAATGCTTTTTAAGAGGCATTGACTACTTTATATCTAGGGTTATAAATAGGATGGCTAATCATCCTTATTTGCCTGGGATGAGAGAAACTTTCTGTGCTAAAACCAGGGAAGTCCCAGGCCATCCAGGGCAGAGGTCACCCGAGTTATAAAGAAAGGAAATGACAGTGAGATATAAGAAGTGGGGTCAGATTGGCGCAGTATTACATATAGACTTTTCTGTTTACTACCAAAGTTCAACTACTTTATCACAAAGTCAAATTATAACAGCCATTTTTGATACCTCTTTTAAAATTGCCATAATAAAATTAGCAGCTTTAGTTTTAGACACTTTTTGGCCAATCCACGTCTGTTCTCCTATGTCAGGATCTCGTCAGTTCATAAAATTGTAACCGTGATATTGTGTTACTAACGAGAGCGAGAAAATTAGGCCATTTACCCCATTTCAAACCAAGAGTGTCTTTTCACAGAAATTATAAGCTTAGATTTATTTTTAAAACTTAATTTAATCTTTGAAAAACTATTCATTTTCCTCAAAGTAACTGAATTTAATCTACTCATAAAAGGACTGTTTTGTTACCGTGGCCTGCCATGCCTCTCACCGCACACATCATACACGTGTGCACACGCGCGCACACACACATACGCAGATTTTTGAAACCTTTTTTGAAGAAAACATGTTTAAAACATGTTTAAAACATCTTTAACCTGTAATGTCTTAGAAAGAACAGAGGCTCCAGAATCGACTAATTTGACTGAGAGAATGCCTAATTCTGCCTGAAATGCCTCCTCTAAGGAACAGAATTATAATTCCACCACAAAGTAAATTATTTGTGATATGCTCCAAAATGTTTGCTTACATGCGATTCCAGTGAAAATGCTATAGTTCTCACTGTCATATATCTTTTCTTTGTTTCTTAAACAAAAAAATAATGGCATCATTGAGCAACATCTATTGTTTAATTTGACTTTTATGATATGAATTTAAACTTGTCAAAAGTTCATGTACAAACAGCTGACCCCTTGGTTACGGTGGATTAAGACAGGAATAGGTGGTTAAAGAGTGATAATTGGTAACAGTTCATAACTTTAAAAATCTAAAGATTTTAGGTTTAAAAAAGCCAGTTATTCTTCTCTTCCTGCTGGAAAAGTGTGTCTTCTGCAAAGTTATGCACCGTTGTAATAAGGATGACGTTAGAGATGCTGTCACCAAACAAAACTAGCAGCAAAGCAGATTCATTCAGATTTGCCCTCTAGTCTCAGCTGTGCAAAGTAGGCTGGGGAGTCAGGAGGCCCTGTGACAAACTGTGTTCTGGGTAATTGAGAGATAATTGAATTACGCTTTCCATTTTAACTCCTCGTATTGAATTTGAATTTGAACACGCATTTTTATTTCAGTATTCTAATTTGCCCCAAACGTTAGTGAGTTGGCCTTTGATTCCATCTCTTACGTTGCCTTTGGTCAACACATTATCATAAACAATCTTTGTTGAGTAGTGTAGCTGGAGGAAGTGGAAATTTGGCTGAAAGAGTGCATACTGACTACAAGTCAGCCTTTGGGAGTTTAAGTGGTTCTTAAAAATTTTTTTTAAATATTTGGGTTGATGGGGCCAGCCGCGTGGCGTAGTGGTTAAGTTTGGCATGCCCCACTTTGGTGGCCTGGGTTTGTGGGTTCAGATCCTGGGCGTGGACCTACACCACCCATCAGCCATGCTGTGGTGGCAACCCACGTACAAAATAGAGGAAGATTGGCACAGATGTTAGCTCAGGGCAAATCTTCCTCAGCAAAAAACAAAAAAATTGTGTTGTGGTTTAGGACTATAAAGGAAAGAAATTAACATTTATTGATTGGCTGTGCAGTCCAAGCATCCTGATATGCATCCTCCTGCAAGGATCTCATCCTTCTACATCCTGAGTGATAACAATCATCAGTTCCATTCTTGAGTGATGAATCTAAGTCAGAATTAGACATTCCTTCTCTATCAGGTCTGATCTCAAAGTCTATGCTCTTTCTAGTATTCCACAGGGCAACTCTGTTTCAACGTCTATGAAGGGGAAAAAAATGCATGACTTCTCTAAGAAAAATCTCTTAAACAAAGAGCTATAGAGACCTACAACATCGTAAGACCTAGTTTTGGTTTAAAGAACTGCTATTGTGTATTCTAAATGTAACTACCACAAAGAGGTCTAAAACTCAAAGTTTGCAAAACCAAAACCTCCGTCTTCCCCACTGAGTCTACTTTTCTTCTTTTTGCCAGAGCCTGGTTATAGGGGGCTTGGAACAGAGAGACCAACTTAAGTGTTGTCTCTGCTCAGTGTCATGTACTTTATACTACCCCAACCCCCAAAGGGAGATATTAAAATTTTCATTTTACAGATGGGAAAACTAAGGCTAATGTCACGTCTTTTTGTAATCACCTTTTGATTACGATGAATCCCTCTTCCCCCACCATCCACCAAACAAGCTAGAAACCTGAAGTCAACCTAGACTTTTTCTTCTTCCTTCTCTCTCACATCTACTTGTTCACTAATCCTATTAATTCTGACCTTCAAACATCTTGCTCCATCCCCGCTGCCTTTGCCTTGGTTTAGGTCTCCAGGATCTGGTCTTCAGCAAGCTCTTCCTAACTGAACTCTTGGACTCCTGTCTTCCCCTCACCCATGTACACATACGCCCCATAACACATCACATTAGTACCTAACTGAACTTTTGTTAACTCCAGTCTGATCCATGTCTCCTTAAAACCTTTCAATGGTTCACCATTCTCTGCTACATAAGGTCCAAACTCTTTATAGCAAAAAAGGCTCTTCATTATCTTGTCCCTAAATCTTTTCACTTATCTCCAATCACTCCCTCATACAGCACCACCAAACCCCTTAGTTTCTCAATTCAACTAAAATGCAATGTTTCTTGTGCTCTTACTATGTGCTGGGCACTTCATTAAGCCATTGGGATACAACAATAAACAAGAGAGAGGAGTCCTTGACCTCATGGAGCTAAGAGTCTGAAAGAGACATTCAACAAATAATTACCTGCATGCTGAATACTACGAAACAGTAAGTACAGGAGCACGTGGCAGCAAATCGCGTCAGGCAAAGTGGCTGTTTAACCTGAGATGTGGAGGATGGCATGAGTTAGTCCAGCAAAGATGAGAGGAAACCCCAAGCAGATAAGCAGTACTTCTTCTGTGCATGCATAAGGCCACTGACGTATTCCACGCAAGTTCCTACATGGTGCTGGACTGGTTGACTCTGCCATCCCC